GTATTTGATAAGTCCGCAAACTCAAGATCATCCGTGCTTTAAAGAGTTTTAGGACCCAAAACACATCCCAAATCAATATAAATTCATTTTTTTTCCTTAAAATCCAAGGGTTTGAGCTTTGAAAACAATGCAAAAATTATGATGTTTGACGCATAGAAATGAGAAGAACCATTTTTAGAGTTCAATAATCATTTCTTTTTCAAATTTATGATTAGCAATGGTCATAAAATGTAGGGTACGGATATAAAATCCATTGAAGTGGATTTGGAAGGGTCGGTTCACTAGGGTGATCCATGTCGGGGAATAATAAATAGTAGGCAAGGAAAAACATCGGTGGAAAAAATCGGATAAAAAATATGGATTTCAAAAAATATGAGATAAGTTACAAAGTCATGAATAATTCGGCTTTGTCTAAAAAAACGGATTGAAAAAATCGGATATGTAAATATGACATAATATAGGATTATGATTTGCAGATATTGTATAGATACATTATAAAGCCATTGAACAATAAACCTTACCTAGTGTCGTTAGCTATGGCGTTAGAGTGATACTTGACAAGTTATTGTTCAAAGTTTCAATAAGTCCAACATCAGTACTTACTTTGTTGTCACAACAAGAGACATATCACACATTTTTTTGGAGCATAAAATGAAATATATTAGTAAATAACAAGAACTGTAAACTAAGATATAGAATTATCGTTTGAAGAAGAAAAGAAACACAAAAAAGACCTTCGGTATAGGATTGCAATTAACTAATACAAAATACCAACCCAAATACATAAAATAGCAGTTCGTCCAAAGTGCCATGTTATATACACCAATAAAAAGATAAAAAAACAAATACAATTAATCAAAACTTCTCTATATATAAAGAAAACAACAAAATGTTTAAGCAAATTAGAATCTCATGCTGAATTCCTAGCTGCTTAAATTTTTAATATACAAAATCTTTAAACAAATTCTAATCTCACACCAAAAGTTATTTATAAGGATGCAATGGGTTAAAGAAGAACAAAAAACATTTTTCATTGGGTTAGTCTTCTAATTATGCCTATTATTTTGATATATATGATTGTTCTGATATATTGTTTTTTGGGGAATATATTGTTTTTTTAGGGAATATATTGTTTGTAAATTTTTTTTAAGGATATTTATTGGTAAAACATTTTATAGAATTTTATTTTAAATTGAGATTCTTAATTTAGTCCTACTATTAATTTGCTTATCTTTAAATAAAAATCAATAATATTAAGTTAATGAAGAAATAAAGTTACAGGGAAAAAGTTTTTTTTGAAAAACCATAAAATATGGGTTTACATCGGTTCCATGAAAAAAGCACAATTTTTTGAAGATCTTTCGAAAAAGTCGGAGTTCTAAACGGATTTTATAAAATCAAAGATTTTTTGAAAAAATCATGCTTTAAACCGAGACTCACTAACTATGGGTGATCCCTCTCAGTTTGCCTAAATAACTCGGGTTTCTAGGGAGAATCCCTAAGTTGGGTGACCAACTCTGCGATCTTAAGAAAAAAATTCCAAGAAGAAAGAAATCTATTTGGAGCAAGTTTTTTATTCGTTTTATCATTTTTGCAAAGATTGAAAAGTATTTTGGCATTTGAATGCTTATTTTTATATATTTTTTTCTTTTTGGGTTAATTCGACAATATTCCCAATTCAAAATTGATTTTTTTTTATATTTTATATATTTTATATATTTTATATATTTTATATTTTTTACATTTAGCTTCAATAAATACTTATGCCGAGGTAGTCGGACTCGAGTACCCGGCTCGGCCCTAAGCGGAGTATTCGGTCCGAGTCGTTAAATCATCCACTGATTGCACCTAAGTTGATGAACACTGCCGACAAAATAATATACAACGCACCTTATATGGATAGAATGAAAAAGAAGTGTGATCCGTTTCATTTTGAGACAACTTCCAACAAAAGAGGCGTTCGATGTGAGGAAAAAAAGAGGAACTCATCAATTATTGAATTTGCAGAGAAATAGGAGCTAGGTGGGGGCGGGGGGGGGGGGGTAGGGACAGAGAGGATTTGGTGGGTATTTTTGTGGGTGAATGTTTACAAAAGAGGAAAAGGGTCCGGTGCAGAGACATTGAGTGGAGGGGCCTCTTTTTTTAGGCAATTCGCTGTTGCGTTGTGGAGACAAAATCAGCAGCAGCAGGAATTGATTTGACGTTGGAACTTATCCTTTGCTTCCACTTTTGAATTTCTCAGATGGAAGATCCCCCTTTAGATTAGAGAGAGAAAGAGTGAGTGTCTTACGCAAGAAGAGGCTCGTGGTAGGCCATCAGCCACATATGGGTTTTGTGGTTGATAACTCCACCACGTGGTCGGGTACCCAACCCCTCTCTCCACCTCTTGTATATGACTCCCAATCATCATCATCATCATCATCTTCACTTTAATCTTCATCTTCATCTTCATCTTAATGTTTGTTGGTATCCAACCAACGCGTTCCCCATGTCTCTCAATTACCTTCCTTTCTCTCTCAACTCTAACTACTTTCCTTCTCTCAAAAACACTCTTAAACCACCCCCCTCTCTTTCTCTCTTCAGCAAACTCTTTGTGCGGTGGTGGTGAGGAGCTGGAGAACGCCCCCTCTCCCTATCAAACACTATGTGTTGTGGTTGTGGTGGTGGCGGCGGTGGTGAGGAGGTGGAGGTGGAGGTGGAGGTGGGATGGAGGTAATGCCTTGTCTCTGGAGCTCAGAGAGGACGCTATCGGTGGAGGGTGGGTTGAGGCCAAGGGGGAGGGGCAGCCATGGCTTGCTTATTGCCTCCTTCACTACCTCATCTATCACTGACTCCGCCTGCACTCATTCACCACCAATAACCATTAACCATTGTTATCACAGATATACATATATTATCATAATATTATCGTTCCTGATGATGATATGGAAAGTATAAGGAGAGATTGTTAGTGGTACCAGAAAGGAAGAAATAGCCCATAAATAATTCACCGGAAAGATTTTATTGTCCTACGGGAGTACACTGCCCATTGACTCCCTCGGATGGGGTAGTAACGGCCAGACCAGGACCCGAAAAAATAATAGCCAGACCTGGAACCGGAAATATAATGTGCGAGCCAGTCCCGAAAGTACCCCGACCGGACCCCAAAAATAAAAATATCTCTATTTAAATATATTTCATAAATTTGTTATATATATATATATATAATTTAAATATAATAATTAAATATATAATTATATTTATTTAAATATCTACATATTTATATAATATTTAAATAGAGATTTTTTTTTTTTTTGGGTGAAACCGGAGTGTTACTGGACTCGAAACCGAATTTTTTTTTCTTTTGAAAATAGTCACCTTATAATTCTTAAGTGGTTCCCAATATTTCAGATCGAAAAAGTCCTCCCATATAAGTCTGGTAACCAAAGGAGTAGACTCCCACAATAATCCGAGGCAGCGCTCGTAATTGTTCATTATCTGCGCTCGTAATTGTTCATTATCTCCATGTACCATATAACCTATAGGCAGCAATCATAGAAAGTGAACTGCAACACCAAAGTTGGGAACCCATCCATTTTCAGGTCATCTTCCAAAATCGTAAGCAATCACCTTTTATCAAATTTCACTTTTTTTCCATAGAAAATACTGCAGTATCAAAAATAGGGGCGCAATAGAAAGCACTAAGCATTCTTTGGGCAAAAGACAACCAAAATAAATCACTCAAATGAAAACTTGTTTTTGGGCTTTGTCAGGCTTACCCCCTCTATGATATAGTTTTTGTTTATGGTTTAATTAAGAGTATGTAAGTGATTAGTCAAATTTGAAATAGATAGTCACAAATGCAAAAACATTTGTTAATTTTTGTAAGGAACAACATCACCCATGTGAGAGATTAATCATTGTGACATTACCGGATGCAGATCGAGGAAATTCTTCCAAGCATCACTGCCACTATCATTGCCATGATCCACCCCGAAACATGATGACGCATTATTCTGAAACATCATGCAAGGCTAACAATTGGTTAGATGTTAAACATATGAGCTCTTTTTCGTCATGAATCCTACATGTGCATTGGCAACTCACTTGAGGATAGTAAACGCAGGAACCTGGCATTGGGAGGACAGGGCAACCCCATGCATCAGCATGCACCTACAAAGAAAAATGACATACCATAAATAAGTCACACTGTCTTATCAAGGGGATTAGCAGATGGAAGGTTTGCAATCGTACAATTTCAATGAAGACTAACACAAATGGCAAAGGAGAACCATCCATTCAAGAACTGTTCAGCTTCAAAAGGAATATTACATCAACTGACATGGCATAGCTTACCCTAGGTTGCCACGTGGGACCCCATCCATGAATGGAGGAGGTAGTGGCATAGTTGCTTGGATGGCCCCAAACAGGGAAGAGAGGAGGAGGGCACCCACTTGGTTGCAATGGCGGGAGCGCAATGAGAGGTTTGTTGGTATAAGCCCTGGGCAGAGGCTCTCTGTGTACCCAGTTCCGTCGCCCACCCAAGTCTTCCTTTGGTAGGACATGCCTTCGGTGAATCCGATATTTCTGCATGATCAAAATTTACTTAGATTTCTATCAGTTAATTATGTCTAATTACAGAATAAGCTAAACTCACTGAAGCCTCTCCTGTCTTGTCCTTCAAAATTATATTTGTATCATCTTCAAAATTATATTTGTAACTCATCCATCTCTCGATTTGCATTGTTCATCTAAGTGGAAGCCAGACTTCAGGATGATCATGCCAGGGAGTTAAGATTCTACTTCCATGGAACATAGTTGGCTTTCTCAAAATAATAATATGATATGCATGCTATTGTTCTTGTAGACACTATTTGATCTAAAAATATCATCATAGAGAAGAAAAAGGAAAGAACAAGATGAAAAAGAAGAAGATGATAATAAGCGAAAACCAAAAATGTGCAAGTGTTGAAAAAGCATAGTTCATGCACAAATCACCTATGCAAGTAACAAGGTTTCTCAGTTAGGTTGCGTACCATTGCAATATCTTATCCATGAAGTTTTGAACTGAGCAACTGAAGCAAAAACAAAAGAATAAATAGAAAAAGAAAAAAGAAAAGGAATTGAAGTTTAAACTAAGGGGAATTGTGATCAACCTAGCCAAGGAAGAGTTCAGTGTATACTGAATCAAATAAACAAAGGAAAGAAGAAACCATTGGCTACTCTGACTGCAGAGCACAAACTAGTTATTCCAAGTTGGATAGAACATATGTTGGCAAAATCAGAAAATACAGCTGAAGAGAATTAATACACATTGTCAAGAAGGTGGAAAAGGCAAACTTTGAATCGAGATAAAAAGAACTTCACTTCCCCAGATATTTGTTGTAAGAAAGTCCTTTTGTTTCTTTAATTTTTCTAGTATTCAGGTAATCCAAAGTATCTATTAAACAGGGAAGACGCCAAGGCGGGCAATGCAATACACAAAAATTTTCCAAGGACTTTCACTATGCTGACCTGTAAATGGCTTGCTACATTATGCCTGGTTAGACCCTCAACTTTCATCAACTCTAATATCCTAGAAGGGATGGCTTGATCAATGCCAAGCTGCTCAACAGCCTGAACAAACCGACGATGAAGCTCTGGTGTCCAGTCCACCTGACAATTCAGTAAAGTTTTGCACATTCAATTCTTGTTTTCATGTGCCATTTATATGTGTCTCTTTCTAGTTGAAAGGTATCAACATTCGTGTTGTATGTTACCTTCATTTTCTTCCTACTCGAGTTACAGGGATTGGGAGGAACTGCTATTCCCTTCTTTCGTTTACTAGGGCTGGTGCATTCACCCTTTTCTCCTTTTCGCGAATGACATGACATGGTGGAGTGGTTTGTGGACTCTCCTTCTTCCAACTTAGAACCCTCAGCTGAATCTACCTCCTCTTCGGCTCCAATGATGGGTCCTAATGATGAGTTCTCTTCGGGGGCAGGTGCATCTAGACAAACTGACTTGTCACATGTATTTTCGACAGATTTTGATTCAGAAAAACTTTGTTTCTCCAATTTAGAAAATAGCCCATCCTTAGCTATTGTCTCTTTCTCTTCTGACGAGTTGGGCAGCTCATGGCCATCACCCTGGTCTGCTACTCTCTCTCCTTGCTCCAATTGAGGAGTAGATGGAGCAGGGAACCTCTCATTCATCACCAATGGCTTGGGCTTAACCTCATTTTCAGCAGATGGAGAGCAAGTCTGCTCTGTTTTTAGGGGTTTCAGAGAAAGGTGCTCAGCTTCATTAGCAGGAAGCTGAAGCATGGATGCTACAGTTTCCTTCAGGGGCTTCAAGGATTTGGAGAGATCACCTCCTGCATTAAAGGCCTGCTCAGGACTAGTCAATTTTGATGTCCTACCAATACAAGTGCATATAAATAGAGAAATGCAATGGAAAGATATTCAACAGAAAAACATTTTTAAAAAAATATTCACCAGAAGAAAAAATGTAACTCAAAGATTACGAGAGTCAGACATCAAGACTCCATATTAATGTAAATTCAGAAGCTGAAAAGTGACAGACCCAGTGGAAAATCCAAACAAGAGAAGGACAGACCTTGTGAACCACATGCTGCCATATATTTTTAAGTTTATCTTCAGATAGTGGTTTCTGAAGGAATTCTGCTGCACCAAGCTGCACAGAGCACATTTACAGGGTCATACTCTGAACTAGGACAGGAACTCAAAAATCAAAAAAGTATTTGGTGAGCAGAACTACAATAGAACTTCAAAAATGCATAAATGTTGATGTTTAAGAGATGAAAGAAACAAAATACTTACTGCTATGCACTTCATCATGGTGCTCAAGCAACGGATGTTTGAAACCACTGCAAAATAGAGTTGTCAAGGAATTAAAACTACTGTTGTGGAAATCAAACTCGGTCTGTGTCAAGTATTGACAATGTTGTGTCACACAACAGTAACGATTAGATTTATTTGGAAGAAAGAACAGAAGAACGGAAAAGGTGTGTTCAGCATAAATGTTTATGTTCAGCAGAAAGAGAGATGCAAACTGAATCTTTCTTTTCTCAAGGGCAACCCATGCTAAAATATCAGAAGGCTCCGGAAAACACCCTATTTAAAATAAGTGTTTAAGCGTGTGTATAGTTTAAGAGTGTGTTTATACACAGTGACACACATATAAGAACATGTGTTTATACACAGTTACACATATATAAGAACATTTTTTTTTCTGTTTTATTTTGAAGGATTACACACATAAACAACATGCATATGCATGTATGCATTTATGTATGTATTCATTCAAACTAAAAGGGAAAAGAAACATAGAGAAAGGGGTGGGAGGTAGGCCACTCCATGCCTCACTATACGAGAACCATTTTGAATTCTAGGAATTACCTATTTATATGCCTAATATATAAGTAAAGTGCAAAGATATGATAGCAAAACAAACTTCATATTGAGATTTTCCATAACTATATTGTGGGCAAAAATCCAACACCATTGATGTTTTAATAGCATATGCTTATTGTAAACAAGGCAAAGAGTGTCACCAACTTAGCATTTTCATGATATTTTTGTTGGGGTGATGATACTTACTGATAGTGGGTAAGTCCCTAGCCGTCTCAAGAAACTTGTAACTACCATGGTTGGCACCAGTATTCACCTGCAAATATCTTCCCACTCAAGAACAATTTACAAATGGGGATGGTGGAATATTTAAAAGAATTCTCTAATTCTCATGCATGGATGCTTATATTTCCTAAGCACTTTCTGTTCCAACTCTGTGCTCTAAAGTTTGTAAATTCCTCGAGATTCATAAAGCGGAAGAAAGTATTTCAAGCTATGGACTGAGAAGATTAAGGTTTCGATCCTAAGAGTGAAGACTAAATAAAGTACATAGGGGGAACATGCATTGCTGGCAGAGGATGTGAGCCATACATGATCAGAATCTCTACTTACCTCAACTATAGCAACATGGAAGTTCTCGGCAGTACTTGACAATGCAGCAAGCGCTTCATTCTCATCATAAAATGTCGACACTGTGAGAAAAAGAGAGGTCATCACAAGAAAGCCTTAAAGGAGCAAAAATTCCTTCTTTATTTAAAACCACAAAAAATACAGTACAACCAGCATATAAGTTCCTGACCAGTGGAAATGAAGAAAATTAACTTAGTATTAGATACAGTCATACTAAGATATAAGACATATACATAATTATTCTCAAAGCACTCGCATTGCACAATGCTTGAAGCTTTCTTTCAAATCTAGGAGAGGATGTTGAGGAAACCTATTAAAAAAAATAAGATATAAAGATAATGACCATGCAGACGTGCATTTGGCTAACACCTATAGCACTACTTCGGCAAAAGCTTCTCAGGTAATTTACTTTTTGGATGCCGTGATCGGCTAGTTCATTTCACCCCCAACTAAAGAAATTGCCTATTCGGGAATTACACTATTGGCTCCTTCCAGTAAAAAGCAACAGAAAAACATGATCCTGCACTATAGCTGAAGATACAGGCTGTGCCACATCAAGGATACCAAGCAGGAACCTTCCCTGGTGTGATAGCCGGGCCCACTTGGCATATACGGAACTTCAAATGGGTAAATATCCTCTGCCACAAAATCTACAAGAATCCTCCTTAAACTCACTGTTGTTTAAACATTTCAGAAAGAGAATAACTCAAGCAATTAAGACTCGAGTATCTGAGCATGCAACTTTGCAGAGAAAAGGAGAATAGGCAAAAGGTCCCAATATCTATAAAAGATGGGAAAACACCCCAACCTTTCTGAAATCAGAAGTTGAATTAAGCCATTTCAGTTAAACCAGAAACAGATCGCGATAAAATTTGGAAAGTTTTTTGATAAAGATGAAATTTGGAAAGTCCTGAAATCAGAAGTTGAATTAAGCCATTTTAGTTAAACCATAAAACTTTCCAAACTTCCCTTTCCTCTTGTACTCCCCTTTCCTATTTCAATAAAACAGTTAATCGGAAAAAAAACATATCATGATCAAATTTGGAAAATTGAAAGTTCCAGTAATCTTATTCATGAAGCTGGGTATAGATGATTCTCAATAAATTACTCATTGTCTTCCAAAACAATGTCTAGGAAGTTCAAATTTCTATCATGAATATATCTCTGTTTGCCAATCACTCTATTAAGAAGTGAGGATATTTTGCAGAGTGCCTGGAATTTTTTCCATTAGCTCTGTGATGCAAATAGGAGTAATGGATGTTCCAACCTTCTTAAAAGACATTATAGAGAATCCATATGTTGTCCTTTATAATCAAGACACACTGGTCCAATCGACTTGGGGATGTCAAGCTTCGACACAAATCAAGTATTTTGCCGCGGTGTAAGAAAATTAGGGTTCAGCAAGCAATCAAAGAATTCAGAAGTGACAATCAAGGAAATAAATTCAATTAGAAAGATGAACAAAAGCAACCGATTTGCCACAACAGAAAATACAAAAAATAAAAGTCAAATTAAACCAGTTACACTTTCTAGTAAAAATATACTGCATTTTAAAACGTTCCTTGGACTTCTAATTCCTCTTTGTCAAGCAATTCATATCTATTAACAGGATATAAATAAAAATTTCAGATAAAATTTACAATCCATAGGGTTTCCCCTCGTATCCCAATAACTGTTACAAATTTGCTAAAGAACAAGAAGTTTAGATGAAAGAGTAACTGACCGATATACTCCATTTTTTCGAGCTTGGACTTGATTTCCTCAGCACACTGACTGTCTTCATCCAAGAGTAAAACTCTGAGACCCTTAGGAAAGTCCCTCCACTCCACCAACTCATCTGCAGAGCAAACCATCTCTGCTTCTTCACAACCTTCCCATTCACAGCAATCGCCACTGATACTCTCCAATTTAGCATCCTTTTCATAGCATTATTATTACTATCGATCTCTTCCCTTTACATGCCTTTAGAATTTGATTAAAACCCACCATTTTCCCACAAAGGTCTCTGCATATTTGGAATTTTGGATGAAACAGATCATTGAAAACTTCAAGTCTCCCCAGGAATCTTTTAAGTTACTTAGAAAGTATTAAAGAATCATAGAAGTTTAAAAGAATTTAGGATCCAAGTCATGTGCATTATTTTATGAATAAAAGAAGAGCAAGCAGCGTATTACACAGGAAAGCATTCACTCAAAACCCACTAAAATAAAGAGAAAAGAAAGAGTTGCAGTAAACCCGGATGCAATTTCCTCCTTGTAGTGTCTGATTTTGCATAAGATGGATAGCTGACATTTCACTCCAGAGGCGTCTAGTTTAAAAGCTCAGAAGAATCTCTGCAACTATAATGCCAGTATTTTAGTCTGCATAAGAGGTGAATATAGCTTAACAATTTATGTATGAAAAAAGGGAAAGAACAACAGTACTTTAAAGCTATAAAGAATCTCTGCAAGTTAAAATAAAATAAAATCAGAGCTCGAGGTTTCTGATTTGTTTTTCCTAAGAGCGGTGAATTCCTTTTCTCTTAAAAACAAATAGTGCCAAGCTTAAAGTAAAACCTTCAAGTTTGAAGGGGGTTGGAGTTCAATAAAATGCGAAATTCCAATCTGAGAATCAATCAATCAAAATTTAAAAGAATTTACGCCGCTATTATGGAAAGAACATTCAGTCCTCTGTGAGAAAGTGACTGCCAACCAGCTAAAAAACACAGACAACAGTAAGTATTGCTTCCCGTGGATGATTGCACACTTTGAGAGAGAGAGAGAGATGAAACATAGTCGAACTCCAATGAAAAATCTCAGAGAAGATTTCGAGAATCTTAGATAAAAAGCAAGCTAAAACATTCATATGAAAGGCTCTCCAAGCTCGTGCATACTCACCAACCTCCCAATACTTGAACACAGGGTATAGAGTAGAGAGAGAGGTTACTAAGGTTTACTAGAAGTTTGAGATAAATTTCAAGAATATTCAGAAAAGCAAGCTGAGAGGATCTTTGCTCAAAAGCTTTGAAGGATCTATCCATACGGAGACCCACAGGAAGAGAAAGAGAGAGAACGAACTTGAGACGGAGAGAGAGTACGAAACCTCAGACGGCATGAAAGCAGTAGGAACTATGGAGAGAGAAATTAAGAGAATCGGAGATCGTATAAAAAAAAATAAAGCGCAAAATCCATTTAAATTAATTAAATAAAAAACTGCCCATAAAGTATTTACGAGAGAGATGGCGAAATGAATCAACACTCGGGAGTCCCATTTTCCTTCAAAACAATCACAAGGGAGTCGAGTACCAGAAAGGGGGAGTGCTTTTACTCCATCATCATTCACTCACTCACTGCATAATCCATCCATCCATCCATCCATCCATCCATGAGAGAGAGAGAGAGAGAGAGAGGGTACTGACGATTGGACTTTTCATACTTTTCATACTGTGGTACGGTTGCTGTCAGTTGATAAGGACCACCAAATATGCGGACCACAATTACATACTCATAACCACCGTTTCACTCGCACACCCTACTGTAACTCTTTATATTCGTGGATGCCCAAAGCTCGACACTAACAGAAATGACACCGAAACGGAAATATTCCCATTATTATCCAAAACATTCAGTGCACCAACATAAATGACCCCCATAGCGAGATATTCCCGTTATTATCCAAAACATTCAGTGCACCACCAATAACACCCCTTACGCTTTTAAAATGGCAATTTTGGCCTCTCGGTATTATAATATGGGATTGTATATTATGGGACAATTTCCCTTTTGTACAAATACGTCTCGGTCACCATTAAGTATGAGATGCGAAATTTGACGGTCCCAAGTGTAACAATGTTTATATTTGTTTTTTTAAAAAAAATTATAAAGACTTTTCTACAGCAGCCTCTCTAAACAACTTCCCCCAATCACTTTTTTTATCTTAATTTTTACCCAAAAACTGTTTTTTATAACAAATACTTTCGAGTCAAAAAGCCATAACATTTTAGACGAGAATGCTTTTGTTTGTACATAATGACGTTGGAAGAAAATGCTTTTGTTTGTACATAATGACGTTGGAAGAAAATACGGTCCGATTAGATGCTTTCAATCCGGCACTTCGAACACTTGGTCTGGCGGTATTTGTTGTCGGTCTGACGATTGTGTTTTGCCGTCCAGTTCTTGGTCGAGCATCGACATCAAACCGGCAATTCAAATAGTGGTTTGGCAGGACGTGAACTTGATCCTGCATAGCATATTGGTGGTCTGGCATAAGGTGTTGTTGGTCTAGCAACATTATGTGGTGGTTGGGCAGTAGGTGTATTGATCTCGATCCGGCAAGTGAAATTGTGCTTCGACAATACGTACTGTCCGTTCGGCACAATTTTTCTGCCGTCCAGCAATGAGCCTACTGGCATGGGTTGTGTCACGGATTGTTCTTATGGCATGGGTATTGATTTGGCAGGAATATTTGCCAAACCGTCTTTGGTTATTAAGCGTTCTACATGGATATGATGCCGCCATGTACGAACAAAGACATTTGCATCCAAGAAACTATGATTTTTTATTTGGGGGGATATGTGTTATAAATATTCATTTTGAGGTAAAAATTACAATAAAAAATGGTTGGGGGGAGATTGTCTAGAAAATCTACTTTGGGGGGCTTTTTTTTTTGTTATTTTTCTTTTTTTTAAAAAAATAAGATTTTAGCTCAAATAATTTGGCATTATGAACTTAGGGTGTAAATATGTAACAATATTATTTACCCTTTGTATATGGGGTCATAATCGATATGGGCCATTGGATGTGATTGGGGATATCAAATGTGAAATTTGATTGTCTTGAATGAGTCACGATGTTTATGCATATTTTTTTAAAAATTGAACTCAATTAATATGGCATTGTGCACTTGGGGTGTAAATATATTTACCCTTGATATATGTAAGTCATAATCAATTTGGGATATTGGATAAATTGGGAAGTTTAGAATGTCCATTGATTTAGCACAAAGTTCAAGAGAAAGATTTTTTAATTTTATGCTCTCAAGTTTCACATTTAATATTAGGTGCAGTTGGCATACGGATGCATCTGTAGGTGTAGAGGTAGGGTGCACCTTCAAATTTTATCATGGTATATAATTTTGATGTAAAATGTTCTTCAGATTATCTCAAAATATTTTTTTATATCTAATTATAAATTTTTAAAATTAAAAAATGGTTAAAATCAAGTAGATCTATAAACATATGAAAATCTTGAACATGGATGGTGTAGATAATATGTTGTGAAATGCACTATTTCTGAGATTTAAAATCTTTTTTATATTTCATGGTAATACATCTCGATGTCGAGATGATCAATTAAAGGGTTTTTCAACATTGAAACTACCTTTTTCGATAGATTTTTTAGGGGCATCCAGAGATCTACACTATAAGGTAACATCCTTTTATAAGCTTTTTCCTTTGATATTTGAGCAATTGTGACCTCAAAAAAGGCATTGTATTATACGATCCTTTGATATCACTATTAAAAGCTCGGCCATTTTAATAATTTATTATTGATCAGATGGTTGGGAGTAGTATTTTAAAATCATTGACCTGAATTGGGAATTTGTTGCTATGGATCAAGATCCGTCATTTAAAATTGAGAATCAGTGAAGACTGACCCAATTCCTAGTTGAAATTGAGAATGTTCAATTTCGATGGAGTGACCCGATTCTATCTAAGAACTAGGCGAGTTTGTTAGGGGATTAAGCAACGCGGATCACCTTAATCACCCAGTTCCCACCTATTTTTTTAAATTTTTTATTTTTTTCAATATTTAAAATTATCACTTAATTTTTTGTGACCAATTCTCACATCAGAAAGTTGTTACGATTGCTAATCCCAATCACCAATTCGATGATCTACCCTAGATTTCAGGAAGGTTGGTTCACCCAATTGATCCAATTTTTAAAGCACTACCTGTAAGTAAGTCGACAACAATATTACATATTAATTACAATATGAGAAATACAACTTCAGCTAGTTTGTAATATTCTTATCAGCTTATCATCAAATCAAATCGTTGATTATCTCCAAATACATTTAAATTATATGAAATGTATACTATGAGATCGCTTCTCCTAACTAAAAAGAGTTCAAAATCACCTTTAGTGGACAACCTGGGAAATGTCACCAAGTTTGTGAATTTTTTTGTTTTCAATGGCATATCGTCGGCCGGCCGACCTATTTCAAAACATCTTGGGTGATTGTGATATTCTCGTACCGAAAATAAATTATATCGTTGCATTAACACGGAAACACAAGAGAATGATCATTTAAAAACTGTTATTGGTAGGTATGAAATATACACCACTATTGGTGAAAATGAGGCAAGGAATATACTATTCCCGTGTGGGCTCCCTTTAACATCTATTTTTGATATTGATCTTGGATCCAAATTTGAAGAGATCTATGAATGATCATGAATATAAATAAAATAAAATGTTAAAACATTAGTTTTAAATTTTTTAATCTAATAAAAATCTTTAGTTGTGGAGGAGGTTCATCTTAAAGATGAACGGTTGTGAGTCTGCGGGTCAGTCAGTCCGTTAACTCAAAAAAGAGATAGTATACATTCCGTTACATAAGTGGTTAGCTTGTTCACATGGAAACCTTCACGTACAAAGTATTAATGGTCTATGGTATATGGGATCCTCTGGAGAATATCATCCATTTGCTTCCAATGACAAGGTGTGGATTAATCCCAGTATATAATAAAAGGGAGCGGTTTGTATAGAGCCTAGGCTCTCAACAATCAAATTAGAGACTAGGTTCAAATAGTGTTGAGAAATGTGATTTCGATATTGAAAATATAGCCTTAAAATATATTTTTATATTTAGTTATAAAGTTTAAAGCTTTAGAAATAGTGTAGATCGATAGATCTATGAAAACTTGAAAATTGACGGTCAAAAAATGCGTTACAAAATACAATATTTTCAAAACTTAAAAACCATTTTTTTCTCATGTTCATGTATCTTGATGTCGAGATGATCAATTTGAGGATATTTGGTCATCAAAACAACCTCTTTTAGTGAAATTTTTTATGTAGGCTCTAATTTAATTGTTTAGAGCCTTGGCTTTATATAAAATTTTCCCATGATAAAAAAGTGCGGTTTGTATAGAGCCGAGGCTCTAAACAATCAAACTAAAAGCGCACCTTCAAATAGTATCAAGAAATGTGGTTTCAATACTGGAAATCTTTTGTGATAACCTTAAAATATATTTTCATCATTAATTATAAAATTCATAGCTTCAAAAATAGTGTAGATCGAGCACATATATAAAAACTTGAAAATTGACGGTCAAAAAATGCACACAAGATGTACTATTTCTGTTGACAGTTATAGGATATCCAAAACTTGAAAACTATTTTTTTCTCCTGTCTATGTATCTTTGAGGTCGAGATGATCAATTTGAAGATATTTGAGCATCAAAATAACCTCTTCTAGTGAAATTTTTTAGGTGGGTTCTAATTTGATTGTTTAGAGCACAACTCTATATAAATTTTTTCCATAATAAAATAGTCGCTATGCATGTTTAATATCCAGGGGAGTTGATGGATGCCACCATCCTCTACCTTGTATGCTTTTCGTGTGAAGTTTTATTTAGATTCTGTTTTCTTAATTTTTGGATATTGATTGATATTTTATTATATTATTGGTACAAGGTGGGCACAATTAATTTTGACCATTAAATGTGAAATTGGGTGGCATTTATTTTATTGACCTCAAAATTCAAAAGAAAATTTTCCAACTTGATAACACACCTCCACAATCAGATTTCACATCGGATGGCTGCACCAAAAGTAATTAGGTCTCATTGTATAATTGAAAGAGGCGGCTGTCCTCGAAATGAGAAAATGGGAGGTGTTAAGAATTTAAAACATTGTTTTAAAACCCTGTGATCTAGATTAACACCCGTCCAGGTCGGGACTGGGACGAGATTACTCCAAACTGATTTGGTTCGTGAATCTGATACATGTATACGGGGTTGACAATCCATCCCACCGATCCGAGTTTGAAAAGTAATTTAAAAAGCTATTTTTATTGAAGAGCTTGTGAGGAAGATGGAATCACAAGCGGCTCGCTTGTTGGGTTCAATGGTCCCTCCCGTCATCTGGTTGTGCGCCCGTGACCTCCTGCACTTGCTGCCTTCTTTAAAATGGATGAAGC